ATGGTAAAAAGAATTTTTCGGTATCTGAGAGGTACTACGGGCTTGGGTCTGAGATATTCAGGCGAGACAAATGACATTCAGGGTTATTCCGATGCGAGTTTTTCTGATTGTAAAGATTCTATCACAACTTGTGTATTTGTGATTAGACTGTTTGGTGATTCGGTCATTTGGCGAACTCACAAACAAACTACAGTAGCACTTTCTACGTGTGAAGCTGAGTATGTTGCAATGAGCGAGGCGAGTCGAGAAATGGATGTCGTTGCACAACTCGTTGAAACTGATACTGGTTGATCCCCCTGTTCCAATGATCTTAAGGTGTGATAATAAATCTGCTATTGTGAGTGCAGAAACAAGTGGAGGAATAAAATTAAGATACATTGTAGAAAACAAGTTACATTATATAAAGGAATGTGTTAATAGGAATCATAAAAATCATTTGGATTGGCTCAAGGGATCAGCTAGCTGATGTTTATCTCGGAAGTAACTGATTGGCGAGATGGAAACTGAGGAGTTGAAACCAACTGAAATTACCTGACAAGAATACTGAGGCGAGATAAAGTTACAAAAAAAATAAGAATAAGAAATTTTGTGATTAACAAGAATAGAATATTAGGAGAGAAGAAGACTGGAGAGGAAAAGAGGATACTGCCTATGGCGGGAGGGAGTGTTGAAATATAGCGCCCTACGCCAGTCTCCCTTTTTACCGACAGTGTGGCAGACTGTGTCGCCACGGCGCCGTTGCGCCTCCTATTGATATACTCGTACTATGCATCACTTGTGCCGCGACCGTTGTCGCATTACGTGTCTGAATAAAGCTTAATTACTTTTACGATAATAAAACTGTGTTTAATCGTTATTTCAACCCTAAATAACCCTTCAAAAATACTCATTCTAAAATTTTTGTTTTTTTTTAATGGGGCTGCACCGCGGGCGGAATAGGACATTCCAGCTCGTGTGAAAGGTGCTGTCCTTGGTGAACAAAGAGGATCTCCGACCCTCTTTTTCGACCTCAGGCAGCACCCATCACACTCGCCAGGAATGTCCAACTTTCTGCCCTTGGGACACAATATACTATTTTGTCACTAGGTCGAAAGAAACTTTTTTGGCACAAAGTAAAAGTCGTTTCAACTGAGTGATGTAATTACGTCTGTTTGCAGGGTTGCATGTTGTCTCACGGCCGAAGTAACAAAAATATGATCTATTTCTATTCAAGTGAAAAATTCATAAAATGAAGATGTAAATTATAAAATGCTAAAATCTCAGGCTAATATCTCAAAATAACATTGATTCATTCACATATTGACTCATAATATAGTTAAGGAAAATTTAATTGTTCATCTCTTACCACTTAGAAGTGTGAAGGTAATAGCAAATAGTGGTTCACTCGGATGTTTCGAAATAGCACTAATGTCAACTTGGAATCTCACTTGTCTCTGGAACATTGCTGGTGCAGTGCTTCCACGTTTATACTCAACTTTGAAAGACATTGGTGAGCTTACACTGTGAGACAATTCTGCTATCTAAAGAGAGACAAGATTATGGTGGACAAAATATGAGGAAAATATAACTAATTAATTATCAGCAATCATCACCTTGAACGTTTTGATTAGAAATATTTTTCACTCACCGATAGAAATGCGTGAATGAGATCAGCCTTAACACTGGCCAACGGTTTCCCTTTCACTAGAACTGTAAAAGTCTCATCTTTTTCTGTCGCCATGAGACTACCGAACCAAGACTTTTTCGTTAACTCTGGAGAGGAATCGGGTGTGAGATGAACCTAATAGAGAGAGTCGATATGAAATTTCAATCAGAGCACGGAAAAAGACAGAGAAGAAAACTTTCAAGTTTTTAGAACGAAGTTACTGAGTTCCAGCAACTCATGGCTCTAAAAGGCATTGTATTGAGAATAAGAAATTGGCTGCTTATATAATTGCCGACGATAACAAAGCTAAAATTGAATTTAAAAAAACTACGGATTTTAAGTGAGAACCGTTGTTGAAGAAGACATTCTTGAAATACGAAAATTCAATAAGGTTAACCTTCTCGAAAAATAGATCATTAATTCAATATCAATTGACTCAAGGTGACAGGTGATTTACTGTGATGACAAAGGATTGCTAGACATGAGTAGATTAATTTTAGAACAGAAACAAGTGAATAATCGCATTTTCTGTATATGAGTATAGTTTGTGTTGCTAACAAATTAGCAATATGCTTCAGAATGGATTCTTTATTTTTGAAATTTTTTACTCTTATTTTTTATTGTTTTCAATAGTTGCATCCATATGACCTCGTTTGACCCGCATATAATTCCATATTACTCCAATATGACCTCATACAGCCCCTATATGAACCTCATATAAACCCATATCACTTCATATAACCCATATATGACTGTATCATCCCACATGAGCCCATTATAACACCATATGACCTCAGATAACTTCCAAATGACCGCATATAACCCCCATATAAACCCGTACTTTTATATGACTCCAGATAACCCATATATGACCTCCATATGACCTAAAGCTCCATATTGCTACTATGCAACTTAATAAATAGTTATGCTGTTTTCATCATCTTTGCACTTCATCGAGAAAGCATCAAAACAATCTTTTTGAACCATGATTTCATTGATATGACTGTTCATTTTTCCAGTTTATCATGGAAAAAATGAGAATAAAATCTCATAAACTATATACTACAGCTCAACAGTGATAGATGCGATCCGCATCATATTCTGATAGAACCAAGAGGCTATTAGTACAAATGTTTTAAGCTATGATTCTCTGACGTATTGGGATCGATCAATACGTCGATTTAGTTAATAATTATATAAAATAATAATATAATGCTAGATGGTGGGAATGAGAAATATGATTTCTCTTTCCTGTCATCCAGACACTGGTCAGCAATCCCACGGTGTCATTTGGACACCCTGGTAAGCAGTCCCACGGTTTTTCAGGAGTCCAGTTCTGAACGATGAACTATTTGACTGTTTGAGTCTCTGTCAATGATGACACGAGACAGTGTTAGTGGAGAAAACCGTGAACTACTTAGCTCAGCGAACTGGGGCTTTGCCAACTTTTGAGGACTCTGAAAGCACCAGAGTACGATCGGGAGCGAAGTGGAGCGGATTTCCAAGCTCATAAGTCTAAGTCCGATCTCTTAGCAACGCGTAACCGAACCCAAGTCGAAACCCTGTCGTGTATTTTAGTCAATAATTATGAATAATACATCTATAGCTTTCACCAGATAAATACACCTGTGTTTAGAATTACATACGTCCCCAATCCTTCATAACCATCCCTGAGTGGGCGAACCCCCCGTGAGCTCACTGCCGAAGTTAGGCGAGGTCGGAGTGACAACCAAGGACCAAAGGAATACAGTGCAGGAATAAAATAATGCAAAGTGCAAGGCAAAGTGAAGTAGTAAGAAGGGTAAAAACTTTACCTGAGTTTTACCTCCGGGTAAAACTCATAACGTCACAATTCATTTCATTCTGATAACAATTCTTGGACTGAGCGTCGAAAAATCGATTTTTGAAAAAATACCAATATTTCACAAATTCTATGAACAATTCAACTTTGGTGTCGATGAATGGAGCCTATTAAGGTCTATATCCATGGAAAAATTCATGAAATTTCACCAGGCTCCTATAAAGAAAATTGCGAAAAAAAATGGAAAAAAGTATACACACGCACATACATACAGGTACTATCTACAAATCGTCCATTCAAACTTTTTAGACCATATGTAGTTACCCTGATACAAAAATTTGGAAACTTAATTTTGAACGATTACAAGCGTCCATTCGGAAGCAAAAATTATGCATTCAAGAACCATAATGTTTTTCATTAAATAACCCGGATGTTCTTGATTCCAGAACCCCAAGATTCTTATTTTAAGTACCCAAAAGTTCTGAATTCCAGAACAAATATTATCTTAACATAATAAAGAAAGTCCGTCAATTGAAGTATAACTGTACTAAATTTGAGTTAAAATTACTTGCAATTGAGCTCTCTCAGATATTATTGCTTCCGAATGGAAGCATTGTAATCGTTCAAATTTAGATTTTGGATGACTCATGTTATATCGACCCATTATGATCCAAAAAGTCCGAAAATGCAATTTTTAGACCATGCCCGTACGTATGTATGTAGGTGCGTCCGTATGTAAACAAACTTTTCTTCGATTGTTCGCTAATGAATCAATGGAATTCAATTTTTTTTTGTTTCTCAAATGTAAGTATTGTTGAGCCCCATAAATTTAATTCATTTATTAATTTTTTAAATTAAAAAAAACAATATTTTTTTTTACGATAACTAAAAAAGAAATATTCTGAATTGATTGAATGATGGCTTAAAAAATTTGTTTGGACGTCCTTTCGACCGCGTTCGAAGATGACGGCGATAGCAATAATCCGTATTTTGATTTATTTGAAAATTTGCAAAAATTGTTTTTTTTTGAAAATTAGAATTCCCGGGATATCTTTGGATATCATGCTTCGAATTAATTCAATCATAGCTTAAAATATTAATTTTAATGCCATTATGTCGGAATTAAAAAATGATTACGTTAGCTATATTGGTTGATTCGATTTTTATGATGATTGTTGAAAATTTCGAATCTTCCATGAATTTCCCTGAAAGTGAGCTTTCTGATAGTTTCTTCAAATGTGTTGTTTCAAATTCATTCAAGTATGTGCAAAAATTTATCTATTAATATTTTATCGAAGAGCTGAGGGGAAAGAAGAATGGGATAAAAAATTGTTTATAAGAAAGGGATAATAAGAATAATGATGATAATATTCAACTAAGTTGAAAGTCTGATAAAATTCGTTAAAAAGAAATCTTATTGAATTGTATATGATAGAAGGAAATGATGTGCAAAATAACCATTTGGAAGCACATTACTAATTTATTAGCAAAAATCACTCTACTATATTCAATACAGGAGCAATTTTCTACTTGTTTTTTATTTTCAGGACTTTTTATTTGCTAAATTTCTGGAACCAAGAAACTTTTCTTCTCTATGTGTGTGGTTTCAATAATTTACCTCTTCGGTGCTAGTGAGCAGTTTACGTCGATGAAATCTTGGACTACCAAGGAAGGAATTCTTTATAGTAGTAAGCCGCGATCGCCAATGATGGGCCCCAGAGCCTGCACCAGTATGAGGTGATCCCGGTGGCGTAACACCGACTAGAAATTGTAAATATGGTTCAAAATTTTCAAAATTACATCGAGAAAGGATTGTTGAGGAACACCTCACTGTTTTCTGAATGCAATAGAATAGTAAGTACATACTTGGTAAATTCTCATTGAATTCAATGCCAACGCTAGTGAGAGGTTGGACAATAGTTGGCGCCGTGACCATTATTGTGGAATTTGTCGTATTAGGAGATGGTCCATTTCCACTACTGACACTTCCAGTGGTTAATCGATGAGGACTGTGCGAAGATTGACCATGATGGGAAATTGGTGTTGATCTGTGTGGACTAAGGAGTCCTGGGAGACTTGGGCCATGAAGAGGTGATCCTCCGGGTGTTGATGTATGAGAATGGGATACGTGAGTGTGAGATCCAGTACTTGGCGAACGTCTCGTATGGTGCCTGGTGCTGTCAGTAACAATCATATATCTTTTATTAATGCATTTCATCAAAATTCACCATTTATTCAATCTCACAGCTCACCTGGATTGTCTTCGTGGAGTCAATGGTGACCCTTGACTGATCTGGCCGAGTTGTAATGCTGTACTGCCATTGACTCGACATGTGTCTATACGTTTCCTCGGTGGATCGGTTTCTAATTGGCTAGTACCGCCTCGGATTCCGCCTCTCATGACTTCTAACTCATCTTCACAGGCTGGTCTTCTTCTCTTTCGCTCCAGAAGCAAAAAATATATTACCTTCTCTGTGTTATGGCTGAAAGATGAAATGCAAAATCTTCAGTAATACTCGACTTTTATTGAGATGGAAGAAATAAAGTTTTTGATGTATATTGTACTTTTCATCTATTGATTTATCTTTTTTTTGTGAGAGTTTTAAGCAGTTGACACATTTTTCGTCAATTCGAAAATCAACGAGATGACTTCAAAATTGCTACGGAACTTGTCATTATCTGAAGAACCTCTTCAAAAATTTACTATTTCATACTTGGGACTGAGCAATTCTTGAATGAGTTTGTCACGTTCTTTGAAACAACCGAGACTGGCAATCGCCTGAAGTACATCGGGGTCTATCGCCTCGACGGACGGTATCACATGTGTCTGCACGACTTCCATCATCGATAGTTCCAATTCTAATTCTCCTTTTCCTGCTGCAGTTACCCAGATGTGTCTATTTATTTCTGCCAACTGAAAGAAAGAGGCAATTCTCACAAATTAAAACATCGTTTCCTTGCAGCCCGGAACAAACCAATTATGTTATAAAATATTCAGGGGAGTCTATTATGAGTTATTAAAATCATGGCCCATTCAACTGACTGGAAAAATTAATATTTGAATTTCAGGTGTGACGTGTGCAAACATGCACATGTCAATTTTATTATTTAATATTTTCTTGACAAAAAGAAGTCCAAGATTCTCATGCTGAATAAGCTCTATACCAACAAGTCCAGCTTCGAAGAAGAACCTACTTGATGGTATAGAGGCACTGCCAGTGACTTTATGTAACTGTATTAGGGACTCAAACCGTGAGAAGTTGGACTTGAACGGATGTCCACTCCTTGCCAAAAATCTTAGCACCGTGCGCAATACCGAACCCGTTATTACTTTGATTTTATATTGAATAATTAGCTTCAGTTTATTATATTGATCCATTTAATAATCGATGTTTGGTTATTGGGACGACACCCTTATCTATCCTTTCCTGAACTTCCCAAAATGGGCGAACTCCCCGTGAGCTCGTACCAAGACTAGCTAGGCATAGTCTTCAAGTCGAAAAGCGGCTTGATTAAGGAAGGATGAAAACCTCCCACATCACACAGGCATTTTGGTAGAAATTTTTCAAACACTTTGAAGTCCATTTTTTAGACATTATAAAGTACCTGACTCGAGCAGGATGTCTCAGTTTCAGACACCTTCGTTTGAAAACAAAATGCATCAGATAAATTGCAATGACGTAATTTTCCTAACAAAAAAAATGTTTTTCCCCTTTTTTCGGCACATTTGGCAAAAGGGATTGTCACATGCATGCACCTGAAAAATTCAAATAAACTAAAAGACAATAGAACAGGTGCCATAAGTCCCCTATGAAAGCGCATTTTGTGATAACGCGGTAGGCGGAAAAAATAAACCAGGAAAAAATAGCCCACACACCCAAAACGTGCTAAAACCCACCCAACTTAAAAATTTCCCTTGGTCTGTTTTTTCTTTCCCTAGGTCCCTTTTTTCCATGGTCTGTTTTTTCCGGGATTCGATAACGCAATTTTGTAAAAGAAAAGAAGATTCCGAGAAAAAAAATGCACAAAAACGAATGTAGTCGTAAGACAGCCGATGTGTCTGCAATTTTTCGGCTGAATAAACTGCTGTCTGCCGCAGACAATATCTTGACAGTCAAATGTCTTCATGACACGCACGAGAAAATCCTTTATGGCACGCCGTGCAATAAGTCGAGTTTACCGCACGCTGCGCTTCGCGCAGCGTGCTTCAAACTCGACTTCTGCACGATGTGGCATAAAATGGTATAGACCACTCGGGCATAAACTTCGTTTTCAACGAATGTGAATATAAACCTCGCCTTCGGCTCGGCCTGTAAACTTCACATTAGTCGAAAACGAAATTTGTGCCCTTGTACTCTAATGTACTATTAATAAGCAATCCAGTGTAATGTTTTTTGGAGCTAATCTATTCGGTATATTGTATTATTAGATTTTTTATAAATGATGATAATATACGTAATATATTATATGATGTATATCCATTATAATACATTATCCATAAATAATGGTATATTTCATATAGCTCAATATCGCATACCCAATGGATGTTATTATTGTAATTAGTTTATCATTTAATTTTTATTTATTATTTATTATATGTTGTATATTATAGATAGTTTATATAATATAGTATAGTATAGAATATAATATAATACTGTATTATCGTAATATCTTTAATGTATGCTATACTCATTTATAAAAACTCTAGTAACATAATACGCCGAATACATTTGTTTCAAAAAAAGTTACACTGGATGTATTATATATAACAAAAATTTAATACATTCCTGAACCTTTTCTATCTGAAATCTTTAGATATTTAGCCCATTTTCAGATACTTATGATGTTTCAGGCGTAGTGCTTTCTTTCTATTTATTACTTTCTACTTTACTTTATTACTTTCTATTTATTTCTTTCTATGTATTTTTGTAGTAATCTTTAAGCAAAGTCGGAATAAAAGGAATTCGGCATACTTTGGAACACCGATAAAAAATTCACGTGACAAAATTAAACATAATGGAGTCCCTTCAATTTTAACTTCCCGACCCGAAGGGAAGAAGTTATTGTAATGATCCTGGCAATCAAAAGTTGATATCTCCACGTTTCATGACTCCTGTGCGTATATGTGTGTGTGTGGGTGTTTTTTCCCCTCCCGTGGTCCGCTGAAGAAAATGTTCCTAGCCGCAGAATAGTGGACAGTAATATGATGGTTACTGTCACACACTGTGTGGGGCCCGCACCCACTAAAAACTCCAACTGACCACGGGAATTCCTCGAACCTAGTTCTCCGCGACACCACCGTTAAGTATTACTTCGCGGGGGAGGTCTCAGCTATTTGCTCTTCCTGCTTATTTTAACCTGATATACGTCTCCCTGCCCTACTAAGATAATGTGCGTGGGAAGGGGGTTCCAATAGGTTTGCCGTCTATTCTACAGGTTTGCGCTCGCGTTACTCTCCTCTGAGCTCCTTCATGACTTCTGCTGCGAAGTTGCTCGTTGCGTTCCAGACTGCCTGTGATGATAATATTTCTTCCACCAGATTCTCAGGTTCGATCTCTCCACCTAGGGCTGACTTCCAAATATTCCATATTTCACGGAAGCGGGGGCATATAAAGAATACATGCTCTACGTTTTCGACCACTCTTATACAAGCGGGGCACTCCGGAGAATCTTCAGGTTTAAATTTATGAAGATACTCCCAAAAGCACCCGTTTCCTGACAGCATTTATGTTAAGTAATAATTTACCTCTCTATGTTTGCGACTTACCCACACATCCACCTTTGAGATCAACTGATAAGTCCATCTCCCCTTGGTCGAGGTGTCCACTGCCATCGACACATGCTGTTTCATCTCTCTTCTATCTTGAGTTCTTCGTTGCTCACTGTTTCCAATTTCCTCCGCCGATATAGAGACTTACGTTCTTTGGCCAGTTCTTCTATGGGGCGCATTCCTGCAATGACGCACACTGCGTCATCAAACACCGTACAGTATGCGCTCGCGACTCGCAGAGCACTCAGTCTGTAGACTAGTGCAAGCTTCCGCCGTGATTCTTGCAATTGTAGTACATCACCCCAAATTGCAATGCCGTAAGTAAGCACCCATGTGACCACCGACGACAGTAATGCTCGTCTTCTCTGTTTTGGGCCTCCTATATTGGGCATGAGGTGCGATATGGTGGCTGTGACTACAGAATTCTTAGCACGCACCTGCTCTGCTTGCTGCTTAAAGCTAAGTCGGGCGTCGATCATCACCCCCAGGTATCGAATGTAAAGCTGGGAAGTGATTTCGTGGTCTCCGACTTGCAGGGTTATAATATCGATCTGCTTCCTACTTGTGATCAATACGGCCTCTGTTTTGTGCTCCGCCAGCTGCAGGCCTACGGTGGCCATCCAGCGGCGGATCGCCTCGAAGGTCGTGTTAGAGATAAATTCGATCTCCCCCAGGTATTTGCCCACGATGATTACATCCACGTCATCTGCAAAAGCCACGAGTTTAGTTTCCCACGGCAATTCTAGCTTCAGCAGCCCGTCATAAATGATGTTCCGTAACAGGGAACCCAATACTGAGGCCTGAGGCACCCCTCCAGTGACTCTGTACTCTTCGGCCAGTTTTCCACCATCTTCCGCAGGTATTCAGGTACGTTGAACTCTACCAGAACCTCCATGATACAGTCCCACCTGGCTGAGGTTGGTGGCATCGAGAGTGGATCGGCCTCTTCGAAACCAGTATTGGTTTTCGGTTAACAGCGGTTCAACAGCTGCTTCTATCCTCCTATGAACGATGCGCTCGAGGATCTTGCCAGTTGTATCGAGCATGCAGAGGGGACGGTATGATGAGGTGTCCTCCGGTGGTTTTGTCCCTTTCGGAAGTAGTACTAGTCTCTGTTGCTTCCACATGGCAGGGAAGATGCCCTCCCTTAGACACTCATTGTATAGGTCCAAGAACAGCTCCGGCATTGCGTGAATAGCTGACTTCAGCGCGATATTGGGGACTCCATCCAGACCAGGGGCCTTGGTGACGACATCGGTTGACTTTTGAGTCGCGACATCACTACCTTATATGGTCTACCCCATGGATCGCCTTCCACCTCAGTAAAAAGCTCATTCCAAGCTTGCTTTTTAATGTACTTAATGGCTTTGCTAAGTTTCCGACGTGCCTTCTTATACCATATCGCCAGCTCTTCAAAGTTCGGCTTCTTACGGCTACGCTAGGACAATCTTCTGGCTGCGTTACTCTCTTTCCGTAAGACGGCGATCGTGTCATTCCACCAATACACCGGTGGATGCTAGTTAATGGTACGCTTCCTGGTCATGGTAGCATCGCAGGCTTTTGTCACTCTTTTCATGATGTTATGCGCCTTTTCAGTAGCACTGATCGAGCGGTCATTTAACGCTACTGAATAGGAGCTATACCGGTCGACTGCCCAGACATTGAAGACTCCCGGCTATTGCCACGAGAAAGTGCTGCTTCACATCCTCAGCCAGTCTATCTAGAAAATGGGTGAACTCATCAATCGGGAGGCTTGGTGGGGCGTAGTAGCTGTAGAAATAGAAAGCATCAGCCTTAGACCTCACGAAACCATACTCATTGCTACTCGTGGCACTCTAGAAAGGTCGGTTCCCACAAATCCAGATGACAGCCTTCTTGGTGATTTCAGTAACCCAGGGTTGAGCGCCAATATGTCTATACGGTTCTGAGATAATGACCAGGTCAAGCTTCAGCTCCCGCACCGTCTGCACATGCAGTTCGTGTGCGGCCTCACAATGGTTGAGGTTGAGCTACAAGACCTTCATCGTCGTTTGTTAGTGAGCTTCTGGAGCACCTCCTTGGAGGCTGGGCATGTACTGCAGCCAGCGACGTGAGCACAATTCTTCATGCTGCCTTTCTCGACGCATAATGCGCATCGGACATCC